CGGGGGCAATTTTCATCAGGACTGTGGGATGCAGGGGGTGGGGGAATGGTGAAAAAACATTTCCCCTCCTGGCATGGTCCTGATCATCTTGCCCTACAGGCTCCTATTTAGGTAACAAAAAAATCAGGCACACATTTCCCATGCCATTCAGTTTGGTTCCCCCAGCCCTGCAAGATGCGGGGACAAGCCTCGCCCCAAAACCTGTCACTTTCCATAGTTCAAGCCCCCCACCCCGACGCAAATGAATCATGTGAGTCACCAGCAGGGCCTGCCTCGTGAAAACTGGGAGTCCAAGACTCACAATCTTCTTCCGTCTCCCCTTGTTCAGCCAAACCCCCACCGGGGCACTCAAAGAGGGAGAGAGAAGAGGGCTAATTTGTTAAGATGATTGCAAGACAGTCACTCCAGAGAGCTTCCGCAGATCATGGCGCTCAGTCATTAAGGCAACACAGTTCCAGGCGCAGGAAAAGGTAAATGGGGGGGGGAGGGGAGGGGAAGAAAATTAAGGGTAGGAACAGTGCAGACTGAAAAAGAAGGAAATGGGAGTTGGGCAGTAGCCACTCTTTGGTCCTGGAGAGAGAAAGAAAGTGTATGTATTTTTTTCAAAACGCATTAAGACTTCTTTTTCTCATTCCCAAGAGCTTCTCAAAGAAAAACCTGGGAAATCAGGATCAAATTAGCATAACATCTGGCATGGAAGCATTGAGCCAGATGTTCCTAGCCCAAATGTGACAAAATTGTGGAACGTTCCATGCAGGCACCCGTCCGCTTTCTGGTCTCCTGTTCAGGGCGTCTGTGTCGGAGGAAGGATTTGGGCCTCGCAACAGCCGGACATCACCTGAGTCAGAAAGGCAACACTTCCCTTCTGGAAAGGCATCCTCTCCCTTTGGCACTGACAGCTAGCCAAGTGCAGAAGGGAGTCACATGCAGGGCCAGGAACCTTTGGCACCTGCAGCCTTGGAGAGGGGCAGAAGTCGCCCAGCCAAGGGGGTCTTTCTGCTGGACTGAGACACTGCTTCCGTGACAGGGTGCAGCAGCTGCTTGTCAAGGAACACATCTGAGTTTGGGATAGAGAAACAAGAGGCAGACAGAGAGAAAAGCACCTGATCCATGGCTCTTAAACGCTGAGGGCAAAGAGACCTGGAGGTTCAGTCGTTCCCACCACCTGTTTCAGCCTGCACAGACTTCAGCTACGCAGGAGTAGTTTAAAGTTTTCAAGGGTGGCAAGAGCATCAAAAAGACTAGATCTCTCTCTCTCACACACAAGCACAGTCCTTCAAAAGTGGGTCCAGCTGGGAGCTTCTGGCCACCCTTCCTTTTTCCCCTGCTATGTGAGATCTTCCCTGTGGCAAGATCACACACACACCCGGCTTCCCAACTTACCAAATCCGCCTCTTCCTCCACAGGGCTGGGAGGGATAGCCAACTCCTCCTGGCTCTCTTCCTCCATCTCGTACAAGGATACCGAAGTAACATCTCCTAAGAGGAGGGCAAAAGGCAGAGAAGCAGAAATCAGAAGTGCGCCCAAGGACTGTGGCATCTTTGGGGCAGACATGGTGCCAGGAGCTCTCGTACCTACAGGACCGCCTCTCCCAGTATCTCCCACGGAGGACCTTAAGGTCCATAAACAGCAACACCCTAGAGGTCCCAGGCCCTAAGGAAGTCAGATTAGCCTCAACCAGAGCCAGGGCCTTTTCAACACTGGCTCTGACTTGGTGGAACACTCTGCCTCATGAGACCAGGGCCCTGCAGGATCTGATTTCTTTCCGCAGGGCCTGCAAGACAGAGTTGTTCTGCCTGGCCTTGGAATCAATTTGATTCCCTCCCCCTCTTTCTTTTTCCTTTCTTCTCCTGTGATGAGGCTGCATTTTAATGTTTTAATGTTGTATTTTAATCTTGTTTTTTAAGTTGTATTTCAATCAACTTGTTTTTATTATTGGTTGTTAGCCGCCCTGAGCCCAGTCTTGGCTGGGGAGGGCGAGGCATAAATAAAATTTATTATTATTATTAAAGCTGGCACAGCAGAAGGGATCTACGGGTCTACACACCTTTCCGACACACTCCTCCCTCTCACAGGCCTTGCTTGTACCAGGCAATTAGTTGAGGGCAACTCCTGTTGAATCTCAGAGTCTGAGGGTTCAAGGAGACCACCTAATGCAGAACACACACTTGCCCCCTCTTGAGGAAGGGTCACCCACCCCAGCCCCACACAAACCCACCCGGCCAACCCAAACAGTCATCAGCACAACTCTGTAGAAAGACACTCACTCAGGAAGTTTAGCAGGGAAGTTTTAGGAGTCCAGGAAGATGGTGGGTTCATCAAGAGATCTGAGAACTCAATCCTACTAGGGAGGATGAAAGGTTTTTGGTTTTTTTATACGAGCCAGAGCCAAGATGCATGAGCTCTTGAGAGGACACCTAAGGGCAGAGGTTTCCATCAAGTCAAACCCATGAAGTCTTACACAGAGTCAGGCCACGGGTTCATCTACCTCTGTACTGTCTACACCAGGGATGTCCAACAGGTCAATTGTGATCTACTGGTAGATCCCTGGGAGGTTTTGGTAGATTGCGGTCGATCATTGGGTCCCTTTCTTTAGCGTTGCTAAAATCGGTTCCAGCCCCGCCCCCTCGGCCCGCCCTCCATTGTTGCACGATCTGCAGAACGGAAGGAGGAGTTAACAATGTAAGGCTGTTAGTTGGTGAGCGGCAGTTCCTCCTTTTCCGCAGAAACCCTTAAAATGGGAGCTTTCCTCCTCCCTAAAAAAAAGCTGAACAACCTTGACCTGAAACCCCCCCCCCAAAAAGTGTGGCTTTCCTTCCCCCCCAAAAAAGGCCAACAACTTTGACCTGAACCCAAAAAAACCAGAGGTAGATCACCGCCAGTTTTTAATTCTCTAAGCAGATTGCAGTCTCTTGGGAGTTGGCCACCCCTGGTCTGCACTAACTGGCAGTCACTCTGTCGAGAGAAGAACACAAAGGGCAAGAAGGTCTGTGAAAGAGCATGGCCCTCAGGACCAAAAGAATGAGGAGACATGCTGTGTCACTGGACAGTGGCCCTGGGTCATCAGCAGAAGCATCACCCGCAGGCTCCACGGGGCATTAAGAACAACACCCAGACGCCACCCAGCGTGATGGTGATCAGAAGCATCCTCCTAAGAGGATTAGAGGCAGTTTCTGCAGACCTGACACGTCTTCTCAAGAAGTTGGTGGCCGTCCATAAAAACATAAGAAGAGTCTGCTGGATCAGGCCCGAGGCCCATCTAGTCCAGCGTTCTGTTCTCACAGTGGCCAACCAGATGCCTGTGGAAAACCTGCAAGCAGGATTCAAGCACAAAAACTCTCTTTCCTCCTCTGGTTTCTGGCAACCATCTGGAAGTATTGCGGCCTCCAACTTTGATAGTCGTGGGGGTATGTATTCAAGATATATCAGAGTGGTTGCCAAGGCTCCTCCATCCCACCGGCTACTGCAGGCTCCTGCTGACATTCCACACAGGAACACAGCCAGTAGAAATACTGAATGGACCTCCAAAGACTGTAAGTCTTGAAAGCCTGCTCAAGAGAGCTTAACTTTAAATCCTGTAGGGGAGGGAGGCAAAAGTCCAGGGATGAGTGCTGAGCCAAGTATACAGGGCAAGACCACGTGGGGAAGAGGGAGGGTGCAGGAGGTGGTGCCCATGATTTTGCAGAGAAACATTTGAAATTGCAACACCCAGAGAATCCAAAATCTATATACTAACACAAAGGGTTAAAACAGCATCTTAAAAAGCAGAGACATCACCTTGCCAACAAAGGTTCATATAGTTAAAGCTATGGTTTTCCCAGTAGTGATGTATGGAAGTGAGAGCTGGACCATAAAGAAGGCTGATCGCCGAAGAATGGATGCTTTTGAATTCTGGTGCTGGAGGAGACTCTTGAGAGTCCCATGGACTGCAAGAAGATCAAACCTCTCCATTCTGAAGGAAATCAGCCCTGAGTGCTCACTGGAAGGACAGATCCTGAAGCTGAGGCTCCAAGACTTTGGCCATCTCATGAGAAGAGAAGACTCCCTGGAAAAGACCCTGATGTTGGGAAATACGGAGGGCACAAGGAGAAGGGGATGACAGAGGACGACATGGTTGGACAGTGTTCTCGAAGCTACAAACATGAGTCTGACCAAACTGCGGGAGGCAGTGGAAGACAGGAGTGCCTGGCGTGCTCTGGTCCATGGAGTCATGAAGAGTTGGACACGACTAAACAACTAAACAACGAAACACAAAGAGTCAATGGGAAACTGAGAGAATGGACTCAAAAACCTACTATGGGAAGATAGGTATGATCTGAGACCTGGTGGGATGAGACATGACTGGAATATGGAATATTGGTCAAAAGGAACAAACCCATCCCAGAGGGAGAGAACAGTAGCTTTACATGTAAATAATAAATACAGCTGTGCAGAAATCCATGGATCAGTCTTGTTGAAAGCACCTGGATAAGAAGAGAGGAGAAGAAACCAAAGTGAGAGTGTTGTGGCAACATCCTGCAAGCTACCCAACTAACCGGAGGGCAAGGGTGTTGTTTTCCTGGAAGAGATCACAAAACTTTCGCACGAGGCAAACTGTGGCAGAGACGAGGAGCTTGCAACCATCCGGACACCTGCTGAATGTCTAAATCTGCACTACAAATGCAACGTCCAATAAAATCTTGACTTCCTCAGCTGACAACATCGTTCCTCAGAAGGTGAAGCAAGGAGCAAGGGGGGGGGTGTCCTGCTATCCTGGAGTTAATCCTGACCAACGGAGAAGAACAATTTGATGAACTGGAAGTGGCAGGAACCTTGGGGGAAAGTGACCGTGTCATCTTTGAATTTATGATAGCGAGGGATGTGAAAACTGAGTGGAGTCATCCGCAGAAAGCTGATTTTAATGAGCTCGGGGGAAAGTTGGTGAGGTGCGTGGCCAGGGATTCTGAAAGAGGAAAGGAGATTCTGGAAAGTGAAAAGTTGATGGTTCAATCACTAGACCAGCCGATAGCTCAGTCGGTAGAGCATGAGAGTCTTATTCTCAGGGTTGTGGGTTCAAGCCCCATCTGGGACAGAACATTCCTGCATCGTAGGGGGCAGGGCTAGATGATACTAGAAGTCACTTCCAACTCTATGATTTGATTATTCTATTTCAGTGAGAAAGGGGGAAATGGGAGAAGTCTAAAGAAGTCAGTGTGGTTGCTCAGAGATATTTACTGACCAGCTTTCAAAGCCGGCTCCACTCTGAGTAAGAGCAACACTGGGTGCACCCACACTGTCCAGCTCATGAGTTTGGATTTGATATCCTGCTTTATCACTACCCTAAGGAGTCTCAAAGTGGCTAACAATCTCCTTTTCCCTTCCTTCCCCACAACAAACACTCTGTGAGGTGAGTGAGGCTGAGAGACTTCAGAGAAGTATGACTGGCCCAAGGTCACCCAGCAGCTGCATGTGGAGGAACAGAGAAGCGCACCCGGTTCACCAGATTACGAGTCCACCGCTCTTAACCACTACACCACACTGGCTCTGCACCCTTTTCTATGGTGAAATAGGAATTTGGAATACGGTGTGCATTTGGAATACGGTGCGCAGTTTGCGGCACTGTATTTCAAGGACGGCCATTCGCCAGGGGCGTTGTGGTTGCATCCTGCACTGAGAAGTGGGATTTGAGTAGATGACCTCCTAGGTCACTCCCGGCTCCATGACACCCAAGTGCGCCGCAACCACATAGCAAGGGCAGAGCAGAAGTGTGAACGACTCGTGCCAAGGAAGGTACGAAGCGCTCAGGGCCACAGGCACAGTCAGTCCTTCCCAATCCAGCTATTTACGGCAACTGGCCCCTGGCCAAAAGCAAACGCCGCCTGCAGAGAGATTCCAAGGGCAACTTGGTAGACTGCAGCTCCCCACGGTCCCGGAGGCCCCACAGAAAATAAGGAGGCGAAGGAAATAAATTCATAAGCAGGCGGCGTGCTGAAAACCAAAGGGCCATCGAGAATGCAGTCGGCATCAAACTGAAAGACATTTGGAGACTGCAGGCAGCTAGGCTGGGCGGTCTGAGAGGTGCACCCCAAGACCCCCTCGCAATACCATGCAAAGATCGGCGGGGAGGGGCTGCAAACCTCTTGAACCACACGTTGCTTCATTCACACACAACCCGCAATCGCTGTCAGGCCCATCCTAGGGGATAAGGCTTTGTTCTCCGCTGCAGATCAAGGCAGCTGTCACAGAATTCCAAAAAAGCTTCTGTTTATATATTAAAAACACTTTTTTTTTAAAAAAAGTAATAATACTTGGTTGCGTTTTGCCTAAAGGCTTAGAAGGCAGATGGGATCTGAGTGGCACTTGCAGGTGTCTGCATTCAGCACAAGTGTTCGAGCCTCCCTCTCTCCAGCTCCTGCCCCACCAAATACCACGTTCCAAGCTCAGCGAGACCCACCCATGGGTGTAATTGCAATCAGGGAAAGGGAGGGGCGCATTGTTCCAAATTGCAAGGAGGAAGATCTAATTATTTCTCCGTGGCACAGCTCATTTCTTGGCCTGCAGAAGGGTCCTGGCTCAGTCCCGGGCTTCTCCAGGTGAGGCTGGGAAAAGCTCACGCCTGAAACCCTGCAAAGCTGCTGCTGCTAAGGCAGGACAGGGGCAGCCTTGCCTCTCCCAATCCAGGGTCCGGCAGGCACTTTGGACTACAACTCCCATCACCCACTGAGCACCGGCTAGGGCTGATGGGAGCTGTGGTCCAAAACATCCGGAAAAGGCCAAGTTGGAAAAAAGCTGGTGTGGGCGATGCTGAGTTAGACCAATGGCAACATCCCATAGTCACTGCAGGGGGAGGGGACGGCACAAGTCACTAGCATTTTTCCCCGCATGGAAAAAACACCCACCACCACCCCATGTTCCCACTCATTTAAAGTCAACAGGTATCCAGTTGTTCATATATTTAAACGTTCAAATAACGTTGGTGTTTTGCAATGGGGGAGGTTTTTCCCCCAAGAAAATGGGGAAAATGGGGGGGATGAGCTTCCTATGGGTCCCCAGCACCTGCCAACCCCCAGCATTAGACAACATGATGATAAGAGTGTTGGACTAGGAACTGGGAGAGACCAGGTTTCGAAACCCCACTCAGCCATGAAGCTCACTGGGCGACCTTGAGCCAGCCACTGCCTCTCTGTGTCCAACCTACCTCGCAGGGTTGCTGTGGGGATTAAATGAGGAGGGGGAGAGCTATGGATACCCCCTTGAGCTACTTGGAGGGAAAGGTGGGATAGAAATGCAATAATAAAAGCCTCACACAGCGCCGTCTCGCCGCTTGGGGCCTCCCTGGCCTCAAAACTATGGCCTTGAAACAAGGATGGGTTTAGGAGGCCCAGTAAAGGTAAAGGTAAAGGGACCCCTGACCATTAGGTCCAGTCGTGGCCGACTCTGGGGTTGCAACGCTCGTCTCGTTTTATTGGCCGAGGGAGCCGGCGTACAGCTTCCGGGTCATGTGGCCAGCATGACTAAGCCACTTCTGGTGAACCAGAGCAGCGCACGGAAACGCCATTTACAGTGGTACCTCGCAAGACGAATGCCTCGCAAGACGAAAGAGTTTTCCGTTTTTTGAGTCGTTCCGCAAGACAAATTTCCCTATGGTCTTGCGAGTTCTTGCGAGTTTGTTGCCTTTTTCTCAAAGCCGCTAAGCCGTTAAGCCGTTAATAGCCGCTAAGCCGCTAATAGCCGCTAAGCCGCTAATAGCCGCTAAGCCGCTAATAGCCGTGCTTCGCAAGATGAAAAAACCGCAAGACGAAGAGACTCGCGGAACGGATTAATTTCGTCTTACGAGGCACCACTGTACCTTCCCACCAGAGGGGTACCTATTTATCTACTTGCACTTTGACGTGCTTTTGAACTGCTAGGTTGGCAGGAGCAGGGACCAAGCAACGGGAGCTCACCCCGTCGCAGGGATTTGAACCGCCGACCTTCTGATCAGCAAGTCCTAGGCTCTGTGCTTTAACCCACAGCACCACCCGAGGCCCAGTTAGGCTGCCCTAAAAATGGCTGTTTTCCTCATAGTCGATGGTTGACTAGAGATAAGTGCTCCTCCGAACTCACAGGCCTCTCGTCGGCAACACAAAGCAGGCAGCCGTCTCCTAGGCTGGGCCTTTGCAAGCGCAGCTTTTTTAATAATAATAATAATAATTATTATTATTATTATTATTATTTATACCACGCCCATCTGGCTGGGTTTTCCCAGCCACTCTTTAAAGCTGGCTGGAGTTACTCTATTTCAAAGCACAGCTCTGGAACCCAGTTGGGTGGGCTCTAGCTGAGTGCAACGGCCATCTGCAGGCATCCACATGCTACAAGAACCCAACTTGTTCTGGCAGATCCCCTTTGGGTTTTGCATCTTTAGAGGAGCTGCTCAAAACATGAAGGTCTCCACTGGAAGTCCATCCCAGGCTCTCAAGACCCGCTACGCCCTCCAAAGAAGTCTCTTGGCATAGGAACACTCAGCAGCGGTGCTTCTGGGAAGGCCCCAACTGCTCTGGGAGAGAGCTTTGAGGAACCAGAGACACACTCACAACACTCCTTGCAGCCACCCAAGAACACCGCGCCTGACACTTAAGAGCTGTTGCATGGGAGATGGAGCATGCTTGCTCTCTCCTGCTCTGGAGGGTAGGACTCGAACTGACAGCTTCCAGTTACAAGGAAGGAGATTCCGACTCAACATCAGGAAGAACTTTCTGATGGCAAGAGCTGTTTGACAGTGGAATGGACCCCCTCTTAGAGGTTTTCAAACAGAGGTTGGAAGGTAACCTGTCTTGGATGGTTTAGTTGAGATTCCTGTATTGCAGGGGGTTGGACTAGATGACCCTTGGGTACCTTGCGATTCTACAGTTCTATGATTCTCTAAGTGAGGGGATAGGGCTGCTGTTGTGCTCAGATCCTGCCTGTGGGCTTTCTGTTGCAGCATCGACTGGCTGCTGTGAAAACAGGATGCTGGGCTAATGAACCCCCTCTGATCTAATCCTGCCGTCAGATTCCTAAAGAAGAGTCCCAGCTTGTCAAGAGCTTGGTGAAGTTTGGCCTCATCCCCTCCTCAGAGAGTCTAAAAGAGAGCTGGGTAATGCCCGGCAGGATCTTGTGCTCCAGCTGACATTCATTTGCACAAAGCCCTGCCAAACTCTGAGGGAACTGTACACACCTGATTTTCAAAAATTCATGAAAATTCAGCTTTCAGCGTGCTCTGTGCGTGTGCTTAAGCATGGGTTTTGAAACCAGGACTGCGGCGTGGATCCTAACTGGCAAATCAAAAGAACCCAAACAGTAATTTTGTATTTCTTTAAAAAGAAATTTAAAAACCTCATGGATTTTAGGAGACAAGAGTTCAGCTCTTCTTCGGAACATTTGGAGTTGTCAAACCAAATTACAATTAACTTCCCCGTAAACCTGCTTGTGTGTCAGGAGTTGTCATGCACTAAAATGTGTAATAGTTATTGAAAGCGGCAGTTTGAGAAGGGTTTATTTTCTCCCCCATATTTCTCTCCCCACCCCCCCACCCCGCTCGACACACCAGAGAAGGGCTTGCAGGAGATACAGAAAAAGAAGTCGGGGAGGAGGGAGGCCTGCCAGAGACATTTCAGTGCCTGAGGCAGCATAACCAAATCCACACTCGATCAAGAGGATGGAAAGCTCTCCTTCTGGGAGCCTGATGGATGTGAGGCTGGGACCAGAGAACGCCTGGGTATAGCTGTCTGTCTCTTGCTGCGTTGTCCTCCTCCTATAAAAGGACTGCTGCAACTTTCCCTGGAGAAGATCAGAGGACTGGAGGGCAGCAGGCAAGGCCACCGCAGGCAGCCACTGTGCTGGGATAGTGAGATGTGCAAAATTAACGCCGGCTCTCACCATATGGCAAGCCGGAGGAATATAGCAGCTGGCACAACTGGAACGTGAAAGCACAGACTCAGCAAGCAAGGAGCAGGAGAGGGGAAAAACTGCAGCAGGCGCGTTTCCCTCGGAGGGAGGCAAACCAGAGAAGAGTAGCTATGGTATACTGCTGCAGCGAACACATCCAGAGGATGTGGCTAGCTTTTGACC